CTAGGAAGGACAGGCAGCGGTGAGGCTGTGGGGGCAGGGCAGAAGAGAGCCTTGGAGAGTCTTGGAGCCAGGGTTAAACACCTGCTTTACCTTGAGATATTTTTAAAGTGAAATTTTCTAGCATAAAATGAGCCATTTTGGTGCACTCTACTGTGGGTGCGTGCATGCGCTGACCCACAGTGCTGAGCAAACCACGTCCCTGTGTAGTTTCAAACGTGTTCGTCAGCCTCACTTCCAGCTCACCCCCTGACCCCTGCAGTCATCCGGGTATTTTCTCTGTCTATGGATTTACCTATTCTGGGTACTTCTCAGTGGAATCCTACTATTGGGTGACTGGCTGCTTATCACTCACTTTTTTTCACCTCGAATAACGTTTTCAAAGTTGGTCTCTGTTGTCTCAGTGCTTTCATTCCTTTTTAGGGTTGAATGGTATTACGTTGCGTGGATGAACAATGCTTTTTTATCCATTCATCAGCTGATGAATATTTAGCTTGTTTCCACTTTGGGGTTATGAAGAATAATGCTGCTAAGAACATTTGCATGCCGGTATCCATGCCCTATTCCTTTTCGTGGCTATATAACACTCCATTAGCTGGACATACTACTGTTCGTCTGTTGAATGAAAGGGCCAGAATTCTATCCTGGAAGGATTCACCTGACAGCTGGGAGGAGGAAGGACTGCAGTCAGGGGAGCAGTCCAGGTAGATGACGGTATTGGCAAAGCCAGGCCCGTGGTAAGGGGGGTGGACAGCAGACGGAGAAACAGCTGAGCTCTCTGATTAGAGCTCAAATCCCGTGCCTGCAGAAAGGCCGTTGCTCTGGCATCTGCTAGGGCTGCAGCACTCAGAGGCTGCCTGTTGGGTGGGCTGTGGCCTTTGCAGTGCTCCTGGGGGCTCCTGCCACACCAGGCCCCAGCCGCATCCCACCCTCACACCTGTCCAGGCCTTGTGTCTGGCGTCGAGCCCCAGACCTGACTGTCATCACCTCCTTCACTGCACCTGGCTGATGTCTCCGCCCAGACCAGAGCAGAAGCCCTGCTGTGCCTGTGGCAGCCGCCTTGCAGGAGTCTACGCATCTCCATCTCTGTTGCTTATGGGGCACAGTGCCAGGGATTGCAGGTGTCCGCAGGATCTGGGTCCCCAGGCTTGTCTTGAATGGGGTGGGGGCCTCGATTCCCAGCATCTGGCTGTGTTATTAGAATCAGCCTAGGAAAAAGGCAGGGTCAGAAGGCAGCAGCAGAGAGCCACCGGGCTCCCTCTCCCTCTGCCCGCTCATGCACCTTTCCATCATTTCCTTTCTCGAGGTGAGGGCTGTGTTTTCCTAGGTGTTCTGGTGACTGCAGGTGTGATTCAGCTTAATAAGAACGCAGTACGAAGGATGACCCCTTTAAAAACTTCACCGCTCACTCAGCAGGTTCTGCAGCCAGGAACTGTGCAGCAGTGAGGAAGGGCCTGGGGGCACTGGATGCACCGGTGGGGGGCGGGGACAAGGGCTTCCTTGGTGACACTATCTGAGTTTTGGAAGACATAGGTGGCTGGTGTTTTTTCTCTCTTCTTGAGTACTCAATTGGGATCCAGCCTCCTGATTTATCCAACCTTGCTTTCTTGCTTTGCCTGGGTCCTGGCATCTTCTGGGGGGCAAGGACACTGTTATGAGGATTTGTAGTCAGCTGCCACCTGCCACAGTGAAAGCTGGGAAGCATATGAATACTTGGCTGTGTAATATTTCACTGAATGAATGAATATACCACAACTTGCTTCTCTGTTGGTCGGTCGAGTGAAGGAGCTAGAACTATGTCCTAGAAGGAGCCAGCTGGCAGGTGAAGGGAGAAAGAACTGTAGTCAGGCACAAGTAGCGTTAGGAAGGTGGTGATGTGCTGTCCAGCCTCCAGGCAAAGCCGTTAGGAATCCTATCCCCAACTCCCAGGGGCAGGCAGCTCCCTCCCAGCATCACACTTCTTTGGTTTGTTCCTCCTCTCCCTGGGAGCAGTGAATTCTCTGACTCCCATTCTGTGAGTAGGAGATGGAGAAGGGCTCCCTGGCACCTTTCAAGCCCCATGGCCCCGGCCCTGTGGACTCATTATGACCTTTCCGCAGCCCCTGTGCACTGCTCCATGTGCACGCTGTCTCTGATGCTGCACGGGGAGGTAGAGTGCTGCCTGTGGTTCCCTGCAGTTGCGAGCAACCCTCAGCCAAGGGGAGCTAGAGGACAAGCGTGCCTGTGTCCTCTCCCACCTCAGGTGTCCTCCTAGTCTCTCAGACTCCCTGCAGGACGCAGCCCGATGTGCATGGTGGAGCCCACCCCGCTGGGCCCTGTGCAGCGGCTCCCTCCTGTCTCGTCCACCCCAATGCTGATGCCTGTGGGAACAGCCTCCTGGATGAGCCGCGCTCTGAGGGACGCCCGCCTCTGCCCAGCCTCGGCTTCCGGAGACCTCGGTCAGCAGCCAGGTATCTCTTCAGCAGCAGAAATGCTCAGCACCTGCCTTCCTGATCCTGGCTTGGGAACCTCCACTGAATTTCTGGATGCCAAGGAAAGTACATTTAATCATTTTCTGCTTGCTGTTTACAAAGCACGTCTGAGAAAGTCAGGGGTTCTCAGCCTGAGCACTCCTGATATTTTGGACTAGAGCTCACTTCGCTGCAAGGGGCTGTGTACACTAAGCACCTCGGGCCTCTGCTCGCCTTGGATACCCATCCAGGTAAGACAGCTGTGGCTCCAGGGGAACACATGGACACTGCCAAGTGCTCCAGGGAGCACAACCGCTCTCATCTCAGAAGCACTGGCATCAGTTATCTGGTGACATCTGATGTCAGCAGAACTCCGGAGAGGCTGGCGGCAGTGAGGGCGGTGGCAGCGATGGTGGTCGTGGTGGTGGCAGCTTTGATACCTGTAACAAAATCAGAGCAAAACAATAACAACATTGGAACCAACTGACTGGCAGTGACCCGGTGCTGCCTGTGACCCTGGAATTTGACCTCTGCCTTTCTGAGAGCCCAAGCTCCTGCCCAAAGCCCAGAACATCGACTTGAAACATCAAGACTGACTCCCAGGCAAGGAAGTTCAGAAAACCCCCACGTCTCATCAAAGTGACGCAGCTGGGAATCGCACCGAGCCCCTCACCAGTCCCTTCCAACACCAGCTCCTTCCTCTTTTATGGGGAGCAGAGTGCCTGGGGAGGGCTTTAAATGAAAGCTGCTTGAAGCCTTTGAAGACGCTGCAGCTACGCTGAGATTGTTGAAATGGGTGAGAGAAGAAAGCTACTGCCGGAAGCCCGGTGAGCCGCGCGGATGGGCGGGCTGTGACGTGGCTCTAAGGATAAATAGCTGCTGTCCCGGGGTTCCCGATGTACAATCCAGTGCTTTGGGGAGTGACTGATGTATTCCAGGTCCTGGAGCTAAGCGGCGCTGCCCTACCACAGGGCAAGAGCTGGCCTCACCACACTGCTTTGCTGCCCAGTAGACTTCAGCAGGCGTGCGCAGGCACCTGCTGTGTGCGAGGGGAGGTGTCAGCTCCAGAACTGCAGTCCAGTTGAAATCCAGAGAGTGACAGGAGTCGCCTGGGGCAGTGTCATCAGGGAATGAGCAGAGCACACGGCTGTGATAAGGAGAAGTGAGGCGGGCACTGCCCAGGAAGGTGATGGAGGCTCCTGCGAGCACCTAGGCCTGAGGAGCCAGGAGAGGTGCTAGAGAGGGGGCTAAGGGAGAATCACGTCCTGCCGTAGCACCAGCCAAGCCACTCCAGGCCCTGGGCCCCTGCTGCTCAGCTCTGAGCGCCAGCACAGGTGGGTGCCGTGCTGGCCCTAAGGCCTGGAGAGTCCTGGGAACTTCATGCAGGCCGCTTCCTAGACTGCCCATCCCCTGGGAGGGAAGTGCTTGAACAGGCCACTCCTGCCTCGCACCCTGTAGGGTCCCCTACCCGCAGCAAGGTGATGTGGGGACCCAAAACAAGGGTCCTTAAGTCTCTCTGTGTCTGGGCCTCGCTTCTGGATTCCCATGGGTAACCCAGTACCAGGTCCTGGGAAAGGTCCTAGGAACTGAGCCCTCAAGCCCTGCCTTGGGCTCAGCCCCCTCCCTGCCTGCTGCTTATCTGCTTTGAGGCTTGTTACCTCCTGAGGCTTTGCAGCAAGCACCGCCTCCCCAGGGAGACCCCCATAATGCCCCTGATCAACATTAGATGCTCCTCTTTCTGCACTCTTGTGGCTCAGAGCTCCTGCCCAAATGCCTGGCATATGAGCTAAAATCCGTCACTGTTCTGTGGCCCCCTTCTTAGGCAACAGAGCACCTGGCACATAGTAGGAGCTCAGAAAACATTATGGGAAGGGATGAAAAGAGAAGGGGTAAGAGACAGAAAATGGAAAGGAGAGGACAAGGGAGGAGAAGAGAACATGGGTTGGTGTCTGCCTGCAACTGCTGTAAGCAGAGCTGACCTGTCCACATCTGGTCCATCACAGAGATTTGCCAGCCCCTCCTGCAGCCTGCGGCAGGGCAGTCCCCTGCATGCTGTGGCTCTCATACTAGGGTTGGGATACTTTCTTGCATCGGAATCACTCCCTTGGGGCACAAAGAGTGACAGCAGCACCTTTCACATGTGAGGTGCCCACCCCACCGTGGAACACACCCCTCGAACAGGACAGAGAGCTCGATTGATTCTGGGCATGTGCCACAGGAGAAACGGAGAGCTTCGCTCTCCCTGCACGAAACAGAAGACCAGGATTTAGCAGGCTCTCAGCCCCAGCACGGTGCCCCACACCCCACACATGAGCTACCTCGTCGTCACCCCAGAAACAGTTGTTGGTAACGGGATGGTGAAGGTGGCAGAGGCAGGTGTCTCCTGACAGTCTCAGACTTGGGTCCACTGGGACCTGGGCTCTGTGCCGGCGGGAGCAGCACCGTGTCCTGGTGGTGCCAGCAGCTGTGCCGACCTCCCCCTGTGCTTCCTGACAGAGTTGCGCACAGGCTTGCCCATCACGTGACTGCGTCCTTTCTTCTCTGTCCCCCCAGCCTGAACCTGAGCAACAGCGACATCCTGACCATCTATGATGGCGACGAGGTCGTGCCCCACATCCTGGGCCAGTACCTAGGGAGCAGCGGCCCACAGAAGCTATACTCCTCCACGCCAGACCTGACCATCCAGTTCCACTCTGACCCTGCCGGCCTCATCTTCGGGAAGGGCCAGGGATTCATCATGAACTACATAGGTGAGTGTCACGTGCAGCCCGGCGTGTCCCTGGTGTTAGGGTGTGGCACTCAGGGGCTGCCTCTGGCTCTGTGTGTTGACAGTTTGGTGTCACATGGGCCTGTTCATGTGTTAGCACAGGAGATAGATGTTTGTAAGAGATCAGGCTCCCTAGGCAGGAGGACAAGGTCGGAGGCCTCGTACTATCATCATCAATGGATATGTGACCTTTGCCTCCTGTAAAAAGGAGCCCACAGGGGCTGCCTCATCCACAAGATGGGAACCAGGATTTAGTAGGGTCAAGAGGTCTTGCTGGCCCCTTACTGTGGCTGCCAAACTGTTCCTCACCCTCTCAGCTTAAAGCCAAGCAAGCAGACAACATCTTGTCTCTTTGATATTTGTTTTTCAATAAAATAAAATAAAAAATAAATAAAAATAAAAAATAAAGACAGTAAAAGTGAAAAAAAAAGCCTTCAGGCCAAGTTCAAACTGGCCCCGATGGAGATCCCCAAACCCGACTTCTCCCTCTACTCTCCTCTGCTGTGACTTTTCCTCAGCCATCGGTGCCTCACCTCCTGTCCCCACACCCTCAAGCTCCAGCCTGGGACCTGTCCTAGTCTCCCTGTTTCCATGGCCTCCATGCCCTTGCAAGCACATCCATTCAACATAGTCAAGCAGAATGACTCCTTTCCCTGCTGCCCAGACACTGCCCAGAACACGCTCATTCCCCGAAATGGGACCCCACATCTGTTCACCTGTGACACCCACTTCTACTGTGGCTCAGCTTCAAACACCACCCTGTACCTGTCCACGGCCACCACCTCAGTCCACACTGCCACACTGTTCCCAGTGCTCAGGAAACTAGGGCTCCATGACATCCCAAGGATCCCGGCCATGGAAGAGACCTGGACACCTGCCTAACACCATCGCATCCAACCTTGCAGTGTCACTGCAGAAGCGGCCCTGGGGCCCTGAGGAAAAGAGGCTTGCTCCAAGGGGCAAGAGCTGAGGTCCACACCAGGCCTCCTCCTCCCCAGCTCTGGTAGTTGCTCCAACCCCATCTTTAGATGGTAATAGCAGGTAATCTGGGAGACACAGGGGTGATGAGGACCTGACTCCGTTTGATGTCCCAAATGATGGGCGATTGAGTTCCCCTAGGGAGGACTCAGCCACTAGTTAGGATAAGTGCTTGTTCTCCAGGACCTGGCACCTCAGTTCCCAGGAGGCAGGGACCCCATCACCAAAGACCCTGTGCCTGGCACAAACGTCCACACATTGCTTCTTGCTTCCCCTTGGCCTAGAGCACCGTCCACTGCCATCTCACACAAACCACCCTGCGGCGCCTGTCCTTGCGTCTCAGTGCCAGCCCTTGGCTGGCCACGGCTGCCTCAGGAGCCTCTGTGTGCTCAGAGAAGGCCTTGCTCTCCTCGTCCCGTCTTCCCCGCTGCCCAGCACTTTTCATCCTGGCCAACCACACCTGGGCCTCTCCGAGAGGCTGACCTAGTATCGACCTTCTTTGTTATGCTTCTCAGGGGCCTTGTTACCCTTGATTGTGCTGCTAAGTATCTGCAGAGTGGGATTGCTGCCGCTGCTGCTCCTTGAGTCCCGAGTTCCGGCCCTGGGCTCATCAGGCTGCGCCCTCCACCCCCATTGGCTGCCTGTGGCTGCAGGCTCAGCTGACTGTGTCCCACGGCACGGCTTTGGTTGGTCCTCTGAGACTTTATCTCCCGCAGCTCAAAGATGAGGTCATATTTTTGCTCTTGGGTCTCTGGTACCCAAGTCAGTCCTGGAGAACTGCATTCACCTGCACAGCAAGGTCTGACCCTCCGAGGCTGATCAAGGTGACCCAGAGAGTCTGGCCACACCCTGGCAAAATCCTGAAGAGCTCTTGGTAATCAAACTTGGAATTTAGATTTGTATGACTCTCTATAGTTACCAAGTATGTGCATGTGTGCGTGCACACACACACACACACACACAGGCATACGTGCACACACAACTTTATTTTCAAATGCATTTTCTCTATCTTCCCAAGAGGTTGGCTCATAAAAATCTCTTGACATCACCCATATATGAGGCTCTGAACTGGGCCCCAGTAGACCCTTCTCCTGCCCTAGAGGCAGCTGGGGAGAAATGGTGGAGATCATCCTGTCACGGCCAATGTCAGCCGCCCATGATGGTGCTGTAGAAGTGACCCTCAGGACTGTAGAGAACGCTTCCCCGGAATGCACAGCAGGCAATGAAAGTAGCCGTGGGATGGAGGAGAGGCGGAGGCAGAGGAGCTACGCTTCTTATTTCTGCCAAAGACTCTAGGCATGGTGGTACATACCTGTAGTCCCAGCAGCGGCAAGGCTGAAGGACGAGGGTCATTGTGAGTTTGAAGCCAGCCTGGGCTACACAGCAAGATGTTGTCTCAAAGAAAAGCTTTACTCAGTTCATTCCACAGGGATGGTAATGCATGGGGGTGTGTGTGCATGTGCGTGTGTGTGTGTGTGTGTTGTGGTCATGCTTTACAAGAAAAACAATACAGGACACATAATTCACAAGATTATTTTATAATGGTCACCCAACGCGTCCCGCTTTCGTGTTTTCCTTTGGTTCGATTTTAGCCACTAAGCATTTGTGCACAGGACCTACATATTTCGTGGGCTAAATTAATAAACTAAGCTTGTGAAGATCTGATCAGATTAGTTGGCTTATACGACATCAAGATCCCACCCCTGTGTGCGCTGCTAGGTCATGAACTGGGTGTTCCCTCTGGCTGTAGAGTTCAGGGGTGCTGCGCACTTCGGTGCACTTTTCTAGAGTTTAAAAAGTTGTTAAGGGGCCAGGGAGATGGCTCAGTAGAATAAGCACTTTCCTGGCAAGCACAAGGGCCTGAGTTCAATCCCCAGTTCTGCCAAAAAATAAATAAATTAATAATTAATAATAATAATAGTCACCCAAAGAGTCACATACAAAGAGAGTGCAGGAAATCTGTCCGCATACTAAAGTCCCAAAGAATCCAGCTGAGGGCCTGGATCCCACAGCAATGTACTGCCTGAGTCCAGCTGAAGGCCCAGAGCCCACAGCAGTGTCCCCCACAGGTCCAGCTGGAAGCCAGGAGCCCATGACAGTGTCTCCTGGAGGCCTGTTTCATGGATTTGCACGGGGAAGGCCCAAAGGTCAGTGGTGGACACTAGAAAGTCTGTGCCAGGGGATGAAGGATCTGTGCTAGCAGATGAAGGATCGCTACTGAAGCCAGGAAGCAATGCTCAAGGTGAGGACCAGAGCTCCCCCAGAAGTACCACAGCCGTCCTTGTGACAGTGAGGTCCTAAGCTCCTCTGGTCATGAGAACAGCTGAGTCCACATCAGGAAACCCAGTGTGACAGGCTTCTCCAGGACACTGAACAGAGCACCATTTTCCCCTCTGGAGCCAGGAAGCAGTGCTCAAAGTAAGGACCAGAGCGCCCCCAAAGTGAACTGCAGTCATGCTCAGCAATAGCAAGGTGCTGTGATCCTTTGATGTTAGGAAAACCAACATGACAAGCTCCTCCAGGAAAAGTGACTGCTCCCTTCTCCAGTTCTTTTTATGTGTTATAAGCAACAATCCTCAGGTGGGCCTCCCACACCCAGCACCACTCTGGTTCAGTTCAGCTGGGTGTTACCAGTTGACCACAAGTGGGCAATCCACCACAGTGTGTGGGTGGGGAGAGAGAGGAGGGGAGGGAGGGAGGGAGGGA